ATGAAACAGTACACCTCTTTCTCAGTGTTCTCCCTTCTCCCAGCATATCAATCGATTGGAAAGTGATCTCTCTCCAATTAGTTGATTTTTTTCCTCATTGTAAAATATAGGGTTAATCAGTCATTTCCGTCCAGTAATTTTTTTTGGTCTGCACTTTATCAACGAAAGGAAAATGCATTGCCCAGACTCATAATAATAATAATAATCGTCATTTGTCGGCACAGATTATTATGTATAACTCTTCTCACGCTCATGACGACCCCAAAAAATGCCACAAAGTATATACGAAGGGATGCAGAAAATCATCACAATTAAAATCTCTCCTTGAACTCTGTTCTCGACCTTGTCACGGAAAAGACATGGAAGTGGAATACGTTGCATAATCGCGACACGCTTCGATCAACAGGTGTGAGTCCCAGCATGGGGCTTTCGTATCCACGGCGGAAGGCTGTGTGACTAAGAGTGTGGAGCTCCGGACGCTAGACTCGCGGAAGTCATCTGGCTCAGATACGTTTCGCAAGAGGGAAAACCTCGCGGAGGACGAGACGCAGGCCATGTGCTTCTGGGCACATCCGGGGAAAAAATTATCCGCATCAGATTGCAAATATACACTGTATGGTGAATTTATACCTAAGTGGAGGCATAGGTTTTAATTAATAGGGTGTCAAGGCACAGTAAAATGTTATGACAATTTCACCATCTCTAGTAGTCGACATAGAGATCTGCAACGGAACTTTTACGGCCAATTACACTGAAATTTACAATCGTGTACTCCAATCTCAGCAGCACAACTTTGCCTATTAAAGTTAACAATACATCCACCCAAAAGCCTCTCATGTGGCTGTAAAAGTTCATTGATTTCCTTCAATGAAATTGAGTTTCTCACGATCAAGGTCAATTTTGAGAGCAGCCCATCATCATCGTAATTGCTTAATTGTCCCTCACGGGTGAGTTCTTGCAAGAAAATACCCTAAGTACCAGTTCGCAAGACAGTGTAAAATCTCTGCTGTGGACCCTCCTCTTCAGGTGGATGACAAAAGGTAGGTATCAATTACGGGGCTTAAGGAGTACTCATGAGAAGACGTTGTCAAGAGTGTCGCATGGGAAAATTTGGCAAATCGTAATCTTCAGGCGAAAAATCGGAAATTGGGAGCACATTTACCACGTGGGAATATTATCAAGTAAAGTGAGTTTTGAAAGCCAAGAAACTCTCGTTGATTTCTCTCGCTATCATATTGCGAGCGCGATACATCTAAAATTAAATGAGTACTGGGAGACAGCGATGGAAGTATTTTTGCCAAAAAGCCATATCCAATTTAAATAAAAATCTCTCACGCAAAGCTGGCAGAAACCGATTAATATTTTTAATGCTCGTCTTCATACCAGAAGACTGCGACAAAAATATTTTCCACGGAAAACTCTCCAGATGATGCAAATGGAGAATTGTATCAGTTTAAATTTGCATCTCATTTTTGAGTGCACCGAAGCCATAATCTGAAATATTCTGACACTAATTGATACTCTAAATTCCAGTGCGGCTCAGAAACCGGAGATTTGTATAATATTTGTGATTAATTAGAAAAAGCCCGTGTTTCCATATAAAATGAATTGGAATATGAACTCAATCTGATGATGTACTCTTGCTCTTTCACCCATTGAAAAGGGGCCACGAGACATGGAAAATAGACAGAAATTTGTGATTGATCTTGTTCACGTCGCCCACTTCCCATTCAATTGAGATGTCATCCTAGGAATTATGTTAAAGAGGTCTCAAGTGGTTAACAATAAAAATATACATTCCCTAACATATGTATGTATGTAGGAAGAACTGTATGTTCCTTTCATGCTCAGTGTGACTTGAATTTTGTAATGGCATTGAAGAGTTTTCGTGTCATTGAGTGTTGAATAAAGAGTGTTGGACTTTTGAAGAAGAATAATGAGGACAGTCATTTAAAATTGGGAAAGATTTGGGGGATAAAGTCTCGAGTTCATCCAGAGAAGGGCATCAATCAGTGTAATTAAACTGTGATCTCAATTTGTGAATAAAGGAGAACCCGAGAGACGTCGACGGATTTGGAGGAACGCGAAAGAAGTAGGAAAGAGGATTGTTGACTGTAATTAGTGGTTTGTAGTCTGACAACTGTGAATACCGTCAACAATTAATAACATGGACACATGATTAATGGCAGAGAGAGATGAACTGAAGTGACCACCATGATGGAGCTGCGACAAAATTAATTTTCACATATTATCAGAAAGATGGAAAAATTTATCGAGTAATGCCATTCAATTTCAGCATTTCTCCATTACTCGAAGCCATATGGTGGACATCCCATGCATAATTGCCAATGAAACTGCACAAGAAGTATGAATTTTATTAACCAATACCTCAACAATCTGTCTCTTGAAATAAGTCATGCTCATATTTATAGCGCTTTATTGCCAATTCAAGTGGCTTCAATATAAGGTTCCGTTGTGGGGACTTAAGTGCACATGAAAGTCTTCTCTGTCGCTTTAATGATTATTTTAGCCCCAAATTGATTTCCCCATGGTGCATCCCGAGGAGAAATTCACTATCAGTCATCTTATTGAAACACTGAGGAGAAACTTAGTTGCCTAGAATTTGAGTGGAGTATTTCATTTATTCACAAAAGCGAGCACATGAAGAGTCTGAAAAAAGCCCCAAAATCCAATTCGTGTGGGGCTCTATAGGCAACCTTCATAATACCATTGACCTTTACAATGTACTAACTCCGACTCTTTCGTACACTTTCATTCCTTTTCCAACCTTACAATGATACAAAGTGAAAAATTGATAATTCACGGGAGAAGTGATGCTTACATATCTGTTGAAATTCAGTGATAAATCATGAAGAGTATGATAAAGTGAGTATTTAACTGTGTGAGAATTCAAACCCTTTCACTCACTGTGAGTCAAGTCTGTGTCTGTATCATATGCACATATTCATTGCACATTCAATTTACGTAATTTCAGCATCTACTGCTATCTGGCTGTGTTCAGGAAGTGAAGGCTGCAGTGACCTCGAACTTCAAAGGCGCAATGTCACCGGAGCCTTAATACATCACTCAGATCTACAGACCAATGACTGATACAGGTGTCTGACGCTTGTTCTGGCGGCACTGCAAATGCCGTATGCTAGGGGGAAATTTATGTATGAAGGAGTACAATTTAAGTGAATCGGAAGACAATAATTATGTCTCTGAATTGTGTATGGGAAGAATTATGCTATAAGAATAGCTATTGAGAGTAAAACTTATTATTCTCGCACTCAAGAAGATGAAACTTGTTTTATAATTGTTTCAAGTGGTACTTTGCATCATATTTGCTGGTCTGTCGGATAAATTAATTGCAAATATTTATTGTGTCTCTCTGCAATAAATTAACAATTTTTGCAAGAGATATCCTTTCATATGCAAATAATAATAATAACATTCTCATGATTCTCATTAACTATTCATCTGCGATCCGCGCTAAAACTAAAAACTCCAACATGAATCGCTTATTGACTTTGCTTGATTTTTTTTAGCAGTCAAAATTTGCATAACTAAGCAGGCAGCATCTTACGTGAATGAGTTTGTGTATGTTATTAAAATCACATTATTCCTCCTATTCGTTATAATTGAGCGTCTCATTAAATTCCACTAAAATAACTCGTGGAAACGTGGTATTTTGGAATCGAAGAAGTTTCCACCCGAAAATTTCCATTTGTTGCGAAAATACGTTATTTCATCTCGGTAACATTGGAAATGTGTTCCAATAAGTTTATCGGGACATTAATTGAGTTGATGAAATGTTGAGGAAACTGTTTCCCCAACCAGAATTCGCACCATAAAATTACTCCTCTTGAGTATGTGCACACAAGATAAATGGTCCCATTTGTTATTTTCATATTTCAAATAGCATCAATTTTAAACTTTTCCATGCTAGAGATATTTTCACGTTTTTCCATTATGCAATAATAAATATCCTCGAGTATGTCGCGATTAATATGAGTTAATTGCGCATTTATGCTTGAAATACCACATATTTCTCCGCCACATCGGTTCTTATGCTTCTGCAGATAAGTTCTCGTTATTGTATTGCTGATGATTGATTGGGAGATAAATCGAGAAGCACATAAAACTATGTAAAAAACGCTCAAAATCATAAATGCTTAGCTAGATGTACCAGCCACTAATTTGAAATCCAATTTTCAAACTCTGTAAAATAGGTTAATGATTTCCAACATAAATTAGAGCCTAATCTACCACCTTATATAATGCGCTTTTTATCAGTTTTCTTTTCTTGTTTGATTTGCCTCAAAGTCTCAGACGACTATCTGATGAAACGACGACGTGGAGATTGGACGAAGACCTAATTGAATGTTTTTGGAGAAATCATATGCGTTCAAGAGATGATGTGTTTTTTTCAGTTTGTCCTGCCTATAATTTTGAGTAGCTTTGTGTTATGCTATTGGTTCTTCGCTTATGTAGACCGTTTCTCGAAACATTAGATACTACACCGCATCAAATTGATAAAAAAAAAATTCTGATTAGGAATTTTCTCTGGCATTACATAAGAGTAAAAATTTAGTACCTGCGATAAGACTCTATTTACCTTTGGTTGACTAACTGTTGAGACTTATCACTCCTGATATTAGATTATTTTTTCAGTCGTCTCCACTTGAAATGCCTCCCAAGAACACTTTCCCATGGAAAGCTTCAATTTCCTGGCCGTAAGCCAGACGCTCAAGGTATGAATTGTAGAATAAATTTGTGTCAGAGTTATTCAGAATGAAAATTACATGTCTAGAGTTGAAAGGTCAACAATTACATGTAACACAAGCCAGATGAATGGATATGTGATGTGGCAAGGAGAATTTACGGCACACCATCACCGCGGTTACAATTATAGCTCAACTGCTACATTCTTCATGTCGGAGCTGAATTGGCGCCGATTTTCTTCCACTCTAGTAGATTCGTTGGATAGCGAGACTCACCTGATATTATCACTCAGCTGCTAATCCATGAACCAATGCATATGTCATAGCATCAAGATGAGATTTTCAGTCCAGAGCTTGTACAGTTACTCCGTTGTCACTTGTAATCACTGTTCTTACAATCATTCAGCCTTTATACAACAATCGTTCGCTAGATTGGATGAAGTGGACAATATTTGCCACCGACAAATCTCACTCTGTTCAACTCAACTTGACGGTATTTTGTTGGACACACAGGCAACAGCAAATCACGAAGAATACAGCAAAAAATATTGTTCGTAGCTTTCTCAAAGAAATTTTGATTGGCCTTTGTTGATCATTTGAAGAAATAGAGAAAATGACTTTTTTGTTCGCTGACACGGGATTAGACTGTCTTGTACACGCTAGAGTTCTCGTTTTTGCTTAATCCTCTCCACGAAAGCGCACTAAAGCTCACTTTGAAAAAATTCCAATGGTATTTATTCACTTTCAGTCAAAACAAACTCAAGTTTAAAGGTCACCCTGCGTTTCTTCTATCTGTATTTGCATGTGGTGACAAATAGGAAATGGCGAAATATGTCACGAATACAACGTCTCAATCTGCACAATTAACCGATTAAATGCTCCACGAGAGATATTTTTTACAACACTTCTTTATGCACACGCCATAATCATTAATTTATTGTTATACAGTTGAAAGGTCAATGCTTTTGCCTAGTCGTGAGAAAAAGACGTTCAGGCAGAAAAAAACTGTGATTATTTTGAATTATCCGCAACATAAATTTCCAGTCTATCTGCCTATAATGTAAACACCACTTGAGATATTTGACGACATCATCTGGTCCAGAGAGTCAATGGGGGTAAGGCCTCAAGCGATAGTGTGAGTTGCTTGGGCAAGAATGATTTTGCGCGCCAAAAATAACATTTCACTGATTGAGACACTCATTCACACTCTCAAAGAGTCAATTGACCGTCGAAACTCCGATATTCACACGGAAATGGCCAAAATTGATGAGCGTTGGCTCCAAGTTGGTCCACAAAACACAAATCGGAATAAGCAAAACACCTCGATTTAGTGATCCGCGCAGTCGCAGCAAAAGCACGTCCGACCGTTTGTAATGCTTCGCAACCAATGGCAAACTGTCCAAGGAACTGAGGCTTGAACCTCAAGAGTCGTCGTAGAGTTGGGTTTCCAGTTTTTCTCCGCATATGTTTTCGTTTGTGTTGGGTTTCTTTTGAATCGTCACACTTTAACATGGAGTGAACACTAAAGCCAAAGCACATGAGCTCAAGTCGTGCGGTATATAGACGCTGGCTTCAGTTTACATAAGAGGCTCGAATATGGCGCGTAGAGAGAAATCACGATTCAGCCGGCATCGCGCTAAAACTGTGTGGGTTATGTTTTGTGTTTATGCTTAATGCTGAATTCAAAGAGAGAGAAAGATGAAACGTAGGTCTGAGCTCGGCGGAGAGCCACTCATGTGTTTATGGAAGATGTTGAGGCATCCGGCACTCGGTGGTGCTTTCCTTGCTGGCCAGAGCGAGATTTCAACTTGAGCGAATTGCCATACTGAATGACTATCTCATGTATACATGAAATTGTGCACAAAGGTGTGTTTATGCAGAGATTTTACAGCCAGAGAGACAGCTCATTTGTCAAAGTGGATGTTCATCATTATCCAAAGAAGATATAATTAGCCAGGCAATTTCTACTTACTCAGAAGCTCTAACATCTTGAACCTTTCTTTTATGGATTGCTCCATAAGATGACAAAAAGATCGACAAGCAAAGTATTGAAAATTGCTTACATATCATAAATTGACACAATGCCTCGCCCCGTTTGGTCATGATGGTCGACAGCGGAGTATTGCGAAGGATGGGACGCTATGTGTCAATCCAGACGTCTCTTCACATCGAATGCCACCTTGCCCCGATCTATCTAACAAAACATACTCGCGATGTAGCAGCCGGACTGGGACACGGTGTAGTCCTAGCAAGGAGTGAAAATATTCTATTCATATCGGATTTCACTGTAACTAAACGAAAAGTATTGCATATAATAAAACTGCATGATTGTCACAGAGGATGGATGGCAGCAGAGGAAGCTGAGATGATAAAAGACATGGCGAGACACTTTGATGAATAATGCGCTTGAGTACATCATCATAATCAGAAAGGAAACTTGAGCTCACAGAAATTGCCTCACTTTTGTCAAATTACGACTGACACTCTGATACAAGAGCACGGCATTTCTCAGTCAGAAGAGGGGCATTGAGAGGGTGGCAAAGGGTTGAAAAGCTATCCAACTGCTTCATTGAGACACTCCAAGAATCCTCCTTTTCAAGTCCTCTCGCACATTCAATTCATCGACGTACGAAGGCAGTACAAAAATGACGAATGAGAAATAGCACCGGAGAGATAATTACAATTTTTAAATATTATGCGTAAAACTTGTTTGACAACGAGTCTGGATGTGGATGGAATCTCTCAGAGGATGATTTCTTTTACGATCACCTCTAGACTCTTTCTAAATTGGCTCTATGTCGAGCCATTCCCTACAAAGTTCGCCGGAGTGTGAAAATTGATAAAGTGTTCAAATGCTCGGAGCAATAAATTTAATTACTGGCCTCGTATCTTTCACAATCACAGTATTTTGACATCACGAAATGGTCGATAGAGTCTATAGAGCCCCGAAAGTGTGTTCAATACCGCAGGGTCTTCAATTTGTATACCTGCGACTCGGCTGAGGGGTTTTACTAGTGATCTTTCTTCTTCCAACACATCCCTCCGCTCATCTCTAGTATCGTACAATGGGACTCTATACATCCATCCTCACCCTGTTCCCTGGGCTCTATCTTGAAAAAAAAGGAGAAGAAAAAACCACTTAACCAATAAGCTAGGTGTATTATTTTCGTGTGGTCAAAAAACCACAGAGCAATACATTTAAACTGCGTATAACATCCATTACTTTTAAGAGACAGCATGCAATCGACAATTCACGCAACTCTTCCACGAAATGCGAGCGCCTCTCGAGTTCGAGAAAAGCCACAATGATAGACGATTAGTGTAGAAATTTCAATTTGTAAGCATTATCACTGCATGTCATGGACTTCCACGAAGTGAATCTGCAAGTCTTCATGCATAGGGAATTAATCAAAATACTCCTCAGTCCCTACAAATGCAGGGTGTAGCTTGCATTGTTCCTGAAGACACACCTTCGATTTCGTCTGCCTTTGCCATGCACAGCTGGAAATGAGTTGCTCTGGGACTTTCCCATCCTAAATTCCAATTTAGACATAAAACGCACTGCAATTCCAGTCTGCAAATTATTCCAAAATTTTCCTCTACCTAAGGGAGGTTGTAAAGTCTTTTTATTATAGGTCGGCTCTTTGCAAATTGCGGAGGATATTAAGTACATTTAAATAGGGAAGGAGAGAGATATAGTGTTTGAGGAATTCCCCAGTTTCAATGATTTCAAAATTTTCAACCAACTCTCTTACCATTTATATAATTATGTTTTTTACCCATTGATTTTGCTAGTTAATTCACAAAGTTCTATTGTTTTTATCCCTTCTTTGGCAACTACTCTTCTATGACTTCGCGGTCTTCATTTTTACTCACGATTTGTCACAGTGTAGGGTAGTTCCTTGTGGATTTATCTTTCAGAAGCCCATGGTATTTTGTGTGTGATGTTAACATCATAGTTTTTGGACGGAAGAGTTGTTAGTTCTACCCATTGTTTTGGCTACTTTTCTACCTGCAAGAGTGTTGTCCCCTATGTACACAGGGCAGAAGGGTCTCCGAAAACAAATATTTCACTTAGTCCCACTATCGATGCCCCCAAAAAACATCATCATGTTGGGAATTCAAGTGTACAATCGTTTGTGATTTGTTCGCATGTTACCATTTACTGCTGAATCTCTCTTAGCACGTAATTACAAAATTGCTACCTCTGTACAAATCACCAATATAATTTATGAAATGGAAGTATAACAATACCAGACACGCAATTTAACTTCATATAGAAGATTTCCCGGTATCAAGTTATTGTGCGGTGGATTCTTTGAGGCGTCTTTCAATGCAATTCACATCAAAGAACACACCTAGATTTGGAGAGTGTCGTAAAGTATTTTGGCGGCTGAATTAATTGTTAATTCATGAAGAAGTAATCGGCCACATATGGAATGCTGTGAGATAGATAATTTATGAGCATTGAGCGACATTCCATTGCAGACTTTATGTGATTCATTGGCAAGAGCCGTGAATTTCAGGCGCTTGTGCGATGAGGCAGAAAATAAATTTGACTATTTTCGCCCACCCTCAGAGGCGGGATTGTCTAGTGGTGTATCACGCAGAAACATCATCTTCAATGATTGTGTTACATAATTAGCATTGGCCCAATTTTGGGCAAATTGAGTTGTAGCGCGCCGAAGTTCTCTCGGAATTTCTCTCTGTCACGTTGTTCCCAGAAACTTGACATTTGAGGCCAAAACAGCCGGTATAGGTGACTGATCAGCATATATCTCACCTTATCCATGGGAATTAATGAGATACCACCCGTATATGCATGCAAAGTATAGCGACAGTACCTTCCCTCTCGGCTACAGAATAAAACCGTCCGTTGGCATGGCATTACCCGCTTAAGTGATTTTTTTTTATAATTTCTTCACTACGCGCCTTCCATATCCATCTAAAACAATAGGATGTTCACTTGGTTTTATATCAGAGCACAAATTTACACACAGTGAAACATTCAACTTATCTAAACTTACACAAGGGAAGTAATAAAGTGATTAGGAGTCGCAGCGGCTCACCGAGACTACAGCATTAATGTTTTTGACATAACACTCAGAAGCTTTAAAATCATTAGTGTGGAAAATTTATTTTGGGAGAAAAAAAAATTCAATTCCGCTTCTCACACTGCATGAAGGAATTTGGAATTAAAATATCAAGAGAGAGAGTGAATGAATCTCAATTCAACATCTCAGTGTGAATTATGGTGTTAGAGCTACCGAAAGTGTGGACAAGTATTTAGACATGATTTGGAGAAATTATCGCTCAATTCTAATTCTAATCTGCTTCATTAGTATTGTCCACTGCGTGCCACTCAATAATAATGAACAAGGTATGTTGTTGATCTCTAAAACACTGATTCTCTCAAGAATACACCTGGGAAAACTTCTCCCAATTTGCATTGCTGATGAGACAGATTTTATCCAGAGAGTAAACGAAAGTGCAACTGAATTAATGAATCAGTGAATTTGTATTCGACGGAAGTGCAAGTTCAAGTTTGCTTTATCTGCTTTTGCTTATTACACTTTACTGAAATGTAGATATGCGATTCTATTAGCTTATCGTATATTTGTAATATATAAAGCATTGCAGAGGTTAAAGTAGCTTTTTTATAATGCTTTGTAGACTGAACTTAATGGTTAACTTCTCTGATAAATAGCGCCGTTTATGGGAAATTCAATCATGACACCAAATAAGACGAGCGACGTGGATTTGAATTCACTGGACTTACTGATGGGAACATTTGTAAGATCCCAAGTTTTTCCTCCACTTAATGTGAACAGCACTGACGAAATTGACAAACTACTTTCGCACGCAGAGTCTTCTTCAGCGCTACCAAGTGTGCACTGCCCCGGACGGCAGGAAGGGTCGCTGCATGCACTCCAGGCACTGCACTGCCTTCAACACCCAGCAGAATATTGGGGAGGTGATGGGGTACTTGTGTGTGATTGAACAGACGTATGTGACTCTTGAGTAGCGAGATGGCGGACGCTGTAATTGTCTGATTGTCGCACAATTCCAGCTCCATTGGCGTGTGCTGTGTCGAGAACGTGACCAGACTGAGCTTTGGCGACACGGTAGATCCGCCGTCTGAGGGAAGGATTGTCAACCGACCTGAGGAGCGTGGGTGTGGGGTGTCTACTGGTCAGTTTCCCAAGATAAGTGGCGGACGTCCTGCCCATCCAACCGAGTGGCCTTGGATGGCAGCCCTGCTCACCAGAGGATACACTAAAGCATTCGGCGGCGGAGCTCTCATCACAGACAGACACGTACTCACGGCTGCCCACTGCACTGACGGCCTGAAGGCAGAAGAGCTTTTCGTGCGCCTCGGCGAGTATGACTTTAGCAAGCGAGATGAGACAAGAGCGAGAGATTTTCGAGTGGCAGAAATTCGCGAACACGAGGACTATGATACTATTACGTAAGTGAGAGCTCTAAATGTAATTGGGAAGTAAATTTCATCAGTTATTTTCATTATTGAATAGGTATGAGAACGACATTGCCATCGTGAAGCTCCAGAGGCCCACCCTTTTCAATACCTACATTTGGCCCATTTGCTTGCCGCCAATTGGGGAAACGTGGGAAGGACACAATGCTGCAGTGGCAGGTATGAACAAGTTCCTTTACAACTCACTGCGCGAAAGGAGGGCAGCTTTTTGAACTTTGGCCCTAATAAGTTTCGATCTCGGAGAGAATGACGGTTTTCCTGCACCTGCCAATGTATGTGAGCATTGATTGGCAATCCATTTCAGGATGGGGCACGCAATTCTTCGGTGGGCCACAGTCTGACGTGCTTATGGAGGTCTCCATGCCAATCTGGAAGCAGTCTGACTGTGTGGCCGCTTATGCTAACCGCATTGAAAGTTCATCCATGTGCGCTGGTGGCCGCCAGGATGGCAAGGATTCCTGTCAATCAGACAGTGGAGCTCCTCTAATGGTGATGCTCCCCAATCGCCGCTGGGTCGTCGTCGGCGTCGTCTCTTGGGGTGTGCAATGCGGCCAACCTGGCCGACCCGGCGTCTACACCCGCGTGACTTCCTACATCGATTGGATCGTGGAGAATGCAGTGTTTTAAAACTCTAACGCTTCAGAACGCTTCATCACAGAATATATTGAATTTCCCAGTTTTCTCGCAGAGAGCTTAGAGAGTGAAAATAAATGCACATCTATGAAAAGTGTGTTGTAATCTCGGTCGCAATTTCCTCTGAAAGTTGTAAACTTGATCTCAGAAGTTGGAAGAAAGTTTTTGAACAGAAGCTTGCGCCTAATTGTATGCAGATTGAAGAATTCTATTTCCACAGAATGAAACATTAGTCGAGATGAAACACGAAACAGACATTTTTTTTCTACAAAAACTTCCGTCAGTTTTTTAACAATAAACTATGAAGAGAGCTCCAATTTGCAGTAAATGAGAAAAGTTTTTTTTGCTATCTCTTGCGATACATCAAGTTTGTGACAGAAATCTAATTTCCATCATTGCACAATATTGTTAAGTGCACGAAACTTTCGCGTGAAAAGCCTTATGAATCACCAATCGATGCGGTGGATTTATTAACTCTCACTCTTGAAATAAAGACCTTTTATTTTATATCGCGCCCTAAGGTATTGCACGAGATTTATTTAAAGGCAATAAATTGCTCACAACAGTTTCGAGGATTGCTTTTCCACTGTCTTTCGATAAAAAAAAACAAATACACTCTGAGTGTGGCAGAAATTGAGCTGAAAAATATGGAAAAGAGTGTCACATTGAGTGTATTTTCAGCCGTGCTGAAGGGTGGATGATTTTCCGCTGTCCTACTTTGTTCAAGAGCAAATATGCTGTAAAATATGCACGTGTGAGGGAACAAGTCATCCACATTTGATGTGGGAGCCGCGGATACTTTAAAAGGCGGCGATATTATTATGAAATCAAGCAACGTCTGCATTCGCGCTCAATGTGGGGAAATTTGGGAGAAGTATAAATTTTCATATATCCCTTTAGAGAGAGAAAGAGAGAGTAAACTGTCAGACGTTTCAGCTCACACTGCCCATTACCCGCCAAGTTACCCGCACTTGGAACCATCCCTCATACTTCATATCCACTCGAACGTGTGCAAGTTCACCTGTCGATTTCGCTCAAATCACCTCTTTCAGCCTTCTCCTGTCACTCATTCAAGTCAGTGGAACCACTTGTACTCTCTATATTTTGACGCCAACTCGCGTGTTTGCCACCTATCCTGGGCGATGGGTATTATTTAAGAAAATTTCATTTTACTGTTTCGGTTATTGAAAAAAACTGTTATGAATTTTCCTCACGAAATATTCGAGAGGGTGCAAACACCTAGAGCAATATTTTAATTTAAAGTTTGTTCTTCGTTCATAAATCCGCATGAGGTGTAATGAATATTCTGCGAAATTGAATGAGAAAGCTCAAATTTTGCTGGAGCATTTCTCATTTTATATGATGGTTTATGTGCTCACATATCTCCAGGGTGAATCGGAGGAATTAGCATATTCCCTTTTATGATGTCAATATTTATATAGAAATTGATTTGTGACTCAGTTTTTCGGATCCCTCAAATAAAAGCTTATTTGCGAGGTGATTGAGTGAATGGCTGATGGTGTAGGGTTCCTCACTGCAAAGGTATAAATCCATTGATGGTGTGTGTAAGCGTTATAAATTGAACCTCCAATGCTGCTACCGTGCAATCAAAATCGATCTGATTTGCCAACTTTTATGCTAGCGCCAAACAAACACTCAAGTCGACACGCGAAAGCTCTAAAAAGCTCAAACAGTATCACCACTGATGGCGCACACCGATGCACATTTGCGTCTCCTTGCTCTATTATTATTACTATTCGCCAGCAATCAGTATCGAATGGGCCAAAGAGGGCCCCGTAGTGTCTCTCTGTCCTTAGTATAAATAAGAGGTAGCTTCCGGCGGTGGATCAGTGCGTATCCTGGGAGGCATTCGAACATGGTGACTCGAATCAAACTGACGGGCGGGACTCCCATTACCCTGGAACAGGCAATTGTGAGTGATTAAGGATTCCCTCAAGATGGGCTCTTTGTCCAGCACATCCTTTCCACATTTCTCTCCTTAAAATTACCATATATGCAAATGTCAGTGGATAATGAAAAGCCGCACATTCGAGGGCTCTTAATTGACTATTCTACCCCTTTCCGCCTCTGCAACCGTCATCATCTCACTCACCAAGCACATTATTATGTGAATATGTGACAAAACATCTTCCGGAATGGTGTATTTATCCGCTTTTTATGATCCCCAAAATGAATATTATATGAAAATCACGACTCATGTATAATTCATCGCTCATCAAAAAGTTTCCTTTCTCAATTTCATCCATTTCATCCCAATTTACTCAGGAAGCCTAATTTTATTCAGAACACCAGCTATGTAATTATTGTTCCTAATTCAGTGACTTAAATCAACATTTTTGCCTCCATAATTGCGTCTTAATCATTACTCGTGACGACACTTTGTCATAAAGAATCTTCCAGCCAAAAGGGAAAATTTATGCGTCAAATCATGTCTACACAATTACACGTATTTCCCTCATTATCACAGTGAAATATGGAATAAGATGTGAAGTGTTGTTTTCACCATGGAATTATTAATGAATGACGAAATGTGCGTGTATGATTAATTTGTTAAGGAAGATATATAGCACATATGGCAAAAAATAAATAAATACTTTAACCGTGAAAAGCCTAAATAAGCACAGGAGAGTTTACCTACCGGCAAAGCTAATACAATTTGTGAAATTAATATGAAATTAATAAATACTTTTGTGTACATAATGTATGAACGCACATACGTGTCTCTGTCTAGAATGCTCACTGAATGTATACGAAAATATATGAAGTGTGAATATTCAATTTAAAAATCATTTTACATATCTTCAGCACTCAAATCCTGTATAAAATCTTATTTCCTTCCTCGTAACCCACTTAATTTACATATGTTATGCATAATTTTATAAAATCTAACTGCTTCTATTCAACATATCTCTAAGTAAGGACTCCGGGTGAAACTTTTAATTTTCTTACCCAATTTCCGGAAGGACTTGCGTCAGACGGTCTTCGGATCGGCAGCAGCCCCTCCTCGGGGTGAATGGACAAGGACGGGTGAGCAGTAAATGCCGAAATAGACGGCACATGCACTGAAAGTGGAGCTACATTGAATCAATTTCCGCACATTTATGTACATCATGTAGGACTGATATTCGGCCAACCAAATCAGGAACTGCCGTATGGCTTGCGATGTCCGAGGAATGCAACGCGAGGACTTCAGTCAGTGGTGCAGGCGTTCATCATAAAATATTTTCTCTTTGATAGCAGGAACAATGAGAAATCTCTCCCTTTGGACGTGTGAGTATCATTTCTGTGTCCAACTTTCATTTCCACTTTCGGGAGCTACATAAAAAAAAAATTTTTATTGCACATGAAACCCAGACTCCTGAAGCCGTCCGAAGCTCAACAGCACGAAGCGCTCTGGTAAGAGATATTCCTAAAGTTTTGAGTGCTCTCTGGAGAGCATATTTGTAGAATACAAATATTTTATAGGGCATCGCATTGAGTTGTAATTCGCTGGAATATATTTCGGACATCTCTCGATGAATACATTTTATATCCTTTCAGGCGCTCCATATCCACTGTTTTGTGGATGATTGGTGAAAAAGCTTTAGTGAAGGTCGTGTTGCCAGGTGAAATTCCCCACATACCGCACAGTCACACATATTTTCAGGATTCAGTCACCGAGAAATTGTATCTCTTTGAGTTTACCAATTTGGAGGATTTGCAAATATTTATCAAGCGCTACTTATTCTTCGTAAGTTTCATCTCTTGTTGAATTTTCGGGAGCACGAGAAAATTGCATAGCGTCTCTTTATAGTTTCTTGAAGATCCGGGACCTGGAGCTCTACTTTTCCTCTATAGTGCAGTCATTACCAGAACAACACCCAAGTATGAATAATGCAGGAATTAAATAACAACGATAGCAACATACATAAACGAGATGGTGTAATAAATTGTTGTGTTTTCAGAATTAAGACAGACTTGGATGCTCCCAAAGGAGCTCATCTGATGGGACCCCACGAGGAGGGATCACTCAATGTGGTGACTCTGCTCTTGACCGGAAGAGCCACTCCATATTTGCACAACGGAGTCGTGTATGTCGGCGATGAGGACCACTATGTGAGCTTTGCTATTATTGAATTACCTTGTGATTAAGCTTAGATTTCGGACAATTTATCTAGTGCACATTCAAGTGCACATATGTAGGATTCGAAGGACATAGTGTGATTTATGCTAATTTCGCAAAGTAGACATGTTATGGCCCAACTGACTCCTTAAAGGCCATTAATTACAATGATAAGACGGGAGGTTACAATTTAATAACAGTCATATTGGCTTATTGATGTAAATTTAATGGATTTCCTTGTGGGCGCCAATCTGAACGGTCAATTTATCAAAATATAAACCTTCTAATTACGCCATTGTATTGTCCCGCACAATAGGCACTTCCTCAATTCGGAATTCTGCAGAGATCAAGCATTGGGTTGATTGTCTGGGAAGGTGAAAATGAGGCAGTCCAGGCATCTTCTCGCCAACCAGGCTCTCGTCTGAAGACACCCGCTATTCCAATATGGGTGACCAGCTGTTGTGGTCACTACGGTGTGGTGTTCAATTCCAACAGAGAACTCTTGAGGAACTACCATGCTGAGAAGCGCTTCGAGTTGCACTACTACACCTGTGCCGCGTGTCATCTCTCCATGACAGTCGACACGAGGACTCATGAAGATCCCGAAGCAATGTTGCAGAGGCAAAACAGCTCAGCCTCGAGCGGCAACAACAGTGGGAACACTCAAAATCAGGACATCGTGGCCACGCCACTGGAGAGGCTGATCCACACCAAGTGGATGGATGCTAAGATTACATTCCACGGTCCAGCTCCTCCATCACTGAATTACTAGCAGAGACACGGGTAATCACTTTGGCGTGTGATTGTTAATGTTCCGTAATTGAAATTACATTTTATGGCTAATAAAAGGACACTAAATCCACCTAGAAAATGCAGTATAAGAAAGATGGATTATTCTCTTACATTTATAGAACCAACTAAACAAATTATAATTACAGAATATAAAGCTTAAGAGTTTGTTGAATTTAATTGTCGTGCCGTTGTTCAGTAAAACCATAATGTAAGACTTTTGGATATTGCTAAACTTGAGCAAGTTTTTTTTTCACAGACCGTGAAATCGTGTGAATAATTAGGTGAAATATAGTAACTACAACAAGTAAGTGAGTACAGTAAAATTATTGCATTGAACAAGGCATTGGAGTTGTTTTTGTTTAATTTCATCTAAACTGTTTTATGACAATATTTTATCGTGATGCATTTCAATAAATCGAATAAATTTCAGTGTGCCATGAATCGTTAGAGGTACTAAAATTTGAATTTATTTCGTCAAGCTCTTTGACACACGCACATTATTTACTGAGAATCCGGAGATAGCGGTAGGTAATTAATATAATACAACATTTAATAGCGTACGTAATTGTAAATGGAGCAAATGGAGATACCACTGAGGATGAGGCACTCTATGTGTCTTCAGAGTCAGTAGTACAGTGATATCTGAGCGCTTACACAACAGCAATTTATTGATTTCAATTAATCTTATCAGCGTCGAGAGGCATCTTTGGGCATCGCAATTACCAGTTTCGCAATGGCTTTCGAGGGGAAGGTTGTTTTAATCACCGGAGCATCGTCAGGTAATGGCGTGAAATCAATTATTCGTGCATTTCGAGGGGAAATTGTCATGGTAATATTGCAGGAATTGGTGCGGGAACGGCAGAGCTGTTCGCCAAGGAGGGCGCTCGACTCGCCATCTCGGGTCGCAATGAGGAGCGCCTCCGGGAGACTCTGGGCAAGTGTAAATCGCCCACTTCTGGACGTAGTCATGTGATTATCAAGGGAGATGTCACGAATGAAGAGGATGCCAAGAAGATTATCAACAATACCATCGCGCATTTCGGTCAGCTGGATGTTCTGGTCAACAATGCTGGGATTCTGGAGAGCGGATCTATTGAGGAGACCTCTCTGGAGCAGTACGACAGAATTATGAACACCAATGTCAGGTATGTAAATTGAGAAGCTTTCCTCCCACTCTTTCATAACTGCTTTAATAAAGCGGATATATTAAAGTTTTAATGAAAGCACTTTATCTTCAGAGTGTGCTTTTTGCTTTCTATTTGAATGTGTTTCAACTGGAGAATATAACTAACTGGACTTGGACTCCAGTTCTACATTATCCTAAGCTTTGAATACATTTGTTTGAAATTTGGAACACTCTTCCCTGATCTTCCAGGTCTCTTTACCACTTGACAATGCTCGCTGTGCCCCACTTGGTGAAGACAAAGGGCAACATTGTGAACGTGTCGAGTGTTGCTGGCACTCGCTCTTTCCCCAATGTTCTGGCCTATTGCATGTCCAAGAGCGCGGTGGACCAATTTACTAAGTGCACAGCTCTCGACTTGGCGCCGAAGCAAATCCGCGTTAATGCTGTTAATCCTGGCGTCATCATCACGGACATTCACAAGCGCGGCGGAATGGACGATAAGACCTACGAGGAGTTCCTGGAGCGCGGCAAGGGCACCCACGCCCTGGGACGAGTTGGTACAGTTGATGAGGTGGCAGAAGGCATAGCCTTTTTGGCCAGCGATAAGGCGTCCTTTATCACAGGCTCCAACTTGCCAGTTTGCGGTGGACGTCACGTTATGTGCCCCAGATAGATTCATGCTTCGCTGCATAAATCTCGCACAAGAGGACGTTCTGTGGCTCTCCTTGAACTCACTTCGCCTTTTGTGTAGATATCGGAAGTGGACAAATACATATATATTTTTGGCAAACACTTCAATGTTCAATCGTTTTCAATCTCTGCTTTATATTGCAATAAAAAGTTTGTCTTTACAAAAATAAATCGCACAAATGCATTTAAGGCACTCTGGAGACCATCAGGACAGATCAGGGAACATAGGAAAATCGAGAGCATTCTATCGTGGACACATGGCATGGCGTCCTCCATCGACCGGCAGCGAAGCTCCCGTGATGAAGGATGCCTGGTCACTGGCCAGGAAGGCGATGGTGTGCGCCAACTCCTTCACATCGCCGGGTCGTCCCAGAGCGTGAGTGTTCCGGGAGTGCTCGAGGAATTTCTCGTACGCCTCGTTGGACATGCCGCTGCGCTTGTGGAGATTCGTCACGGTCACTCCCGGATTCACGGCATTGCAGCGGACGTTCTTGGGCGCCAACTCCAGTGCCACGCACCTTGTGAACTGATCCACGGCTGCCTTGCTGATGTTGTACGCCAGCACGCCCGGAAAGGAGCGGATCCCGTTCACGCTGGACACGTTCACGATGTTGCCCTTCGACTTGATGAGGTGCGGAGTGGCCAGCATGGTGAGGTAGTAAATCGAGCGGATGTTGGTGTTCATCACGCGATCGAATTGCTCCAGACTGGTGTTCTCAATGGTTCCCGGCTCGAGAATTCCGGCATTATTGATGAGCACATCGAGTTTTCCGTACTCTTTGATGGTGTCTGTGAGAATCCTCTCGGTGTCCCTCTCATTGGTGATGTCACCGGGCACCAAGAAGTGCTTCTGAGGAGTAGCCTTGGGACATTCGCTGATCAATTTCGTGAGACTCTCAACGTTGCGTCCCGTTAGCGACAAACTCGCACCCAATTTGGCCAAATGAAGCGCCGTTGCATAGCCGATACCTTCAAAAGAAAGCTCTCGTGAGTAATCCATAAAATTATGAATGCGATAAGTGTGTAGAATACCTGAAGAGGCACCTGTGAGCAGCACGACTTTACCGGCGAAATTCATCTTCTATGAACAAGTGTTACGCAACAATTTCTCTCTTGCCGATAAGAGTCCCACAAACGGCACTGACAATCAGCTGCTTTCCGCTCGTATTGGCTTCAGGCCCGCAAGTGACGATTTCCAATCCCTGGACTTGACGAAAGTCGGTCTACTCCATTTTAGTACAGAATTTCAAATGAAAGACGTTATTTTCCCATTGGACTGTACATACAATCATCCCATACTTTCATTTGAAGCATAAATAAAATTTATTTTCTGTGTGAAATAATTAAATATAGGGTGGAATCACGTGAAGAACAAATGAAGCAAACCAGTGGCGCAATTAGTTTGATTACGAAAAGCTTTTGGGTAATATAAAATATTCAAAAAGAGAACCAATTAATTAACAATGCACAATTTTATTTGCGCCACGAAACTTTTTACTTGGATCCCTTTGTGTAATCAGAGGAAATTAATTGGCATGTATGTAACAAATTGGTGAATCTGTTGTTTTTCTGATATCCCACATTTCATTGTCCTGCTTTCTATGGCAAATAAATTGAAGTGCTTCACGCGCTTCCAAGACGCGCTGCATCCAATTCCCAATCAAGGCGAAAGGCATATGAAAGAGAGTTAGTGCACCCTCTATCTGCTGGGGCGGTGATAATTTCGTGAAAAAGCAAAACAGTTGATAAGACAACAAAAAGAAGCACTTCGTTGAACTGTGTCAATATCGGTCAGATAAACCCATAGTCGGAAATGTTCCACCGAGTCGAGTCTCCCGGACGAAGACTGGCATCATCAGCGGCAATATTTGCTGTTTGAGATACGATTTTAAATTAATTTCAGAAAATTCGATGAATCATCGGCCAATGAGGATTTAATTGTGTATTTGTGCTCTCTCAAGCATGATTTATTAGTTCTTCGCGGATGGTCGTGGGATGAATTCATCAATTTTACTCAAGAAAATCAATAACTCATCTTTTTGCATTTCTTCCACCCGAGAATGTTTCTCATTTTCATTTTAGACTTAGAGCTTCTCCAGTGCGGAGGAAGAAATATACTTGATTATCTTTTAATTTTTTGATCTGAAATGCGGAAAATTTCCACCAACAAGAGAAATGAGTAATTTATTTCCAAACAACCTTCACCAATCACGTTTGATAAATTCCCACTTGAAGATATCAAATGGTTCCGTAATGCTATTTTTTCTCGATTAAATATTGTCGAAATAAATCTGCAATATTATAGAGAATTTCACACAATGCAAACTACTCAAAACTCCAGTTCAGTTTGTAATAAATTCGACCAGCTCAATTACTACCTACATATTTCCCTCTCACGAACCTTGTTTCGCAGACTTTCGTTAGCATTTGCCTGAATTTTCCGGTAAAATGCGATATCTGTATTAATCCTGTTTTGGTAAACATATAATTCCCTGTACTATATTACCATTGGATTAAGTACAGCGTTCTCTTGACCCTGATTTTGAGTCCACAGTGTGATATGACAGAGATCCGGATTAATTTCCCGCATTGGAAAATATTTTTCATGACGACTTGCGTAACTAAAACTGCTCCACTGAACATAGTGCAATGGCTTAGAGTCAAATTTCCTTGATAACTATACAGGGTTCAAAATACAAATGGTTTGTTTTGGTTTTGCAGCATTGGCACAAAGCTCTGAGTCTCACAGCGCACGCACAGCGGCAATCTGTAGCGTATTTTGATAATTAAACACTTCGGTCTCAATGAACTTCAATTAGCTGAAAGCTTATCAAGAGTGCCTTCTTAATTCCACTCCAGAATTGCCAAGCGATTCAGACATTTAATGAGAAATGGCTCAATTAATGAAAATTCGACGCTGGCTTTATTGCTCGGATGAGCCATCTGGACCATTTATTATGCACTTTTGGGGCGTCTGGTGCAGGATGCCGAAAAAATGAGGGAGTCGACAGGCTCTAGCGTCAGAGTGTCTCGTGGCGACTGTGACTGGTGAGTGAGTGATAGCCGGCGGATTAAAGTGTGACTCGCCTTCACGCGATCGCCGAGTGATTTAGAGCGTGTCTGGAAAATTTTCACCGTGCGTTTGGAGAGTGCTTCACCTCAGCTGTTGAGGGAATTTTCCAAAGGAACAGTGCGAGCCGATTAGGAAATTGCCTAGGTTTTTTTCCCCTTGAAACATCGCGTCTATCTATAGTATTTGGTGATTAGGCCGGCCGATATGGTCGCCAGAAATTCATGCCGTTGTGAGTAAACAATAAACACTCCATGAATTTTTGCTTGTAGACTTTTTCCGCCCAAAACAGTCACCAAGCGAGATTGCTGTTTATTGTGAATTTCGAGTGAGAGAAAGATAAAAGTGTACACAGAAATCTGCAAAGAGATGTACTATATATCCCAGTGGAAAAATTCAGGCGGACATTCTGTAAAAATTGTGTGCGTAGCAAAAAAATGGTGACAAGTCGATACTGGAGTGGACGGCAAAAATTGGTTGTTCACGAGTTAAACTTTGTCCCGGTGACAACCGTAGTATTTTTCCTTCATTTTCAAAGCTCATGCTCCTCACATTGGCGGCAAAACAGCGTGTCCGATACGCTGGCTGTATAGTTTTTCCTCAGTCGTGACGTCACTAGAGCGGTGTTCCATGCGAGCGTAGCCTGATACTGATAACAACCCCAGCCGTATAAATATAGGACAGTGTCAGGGTGAGGCAGTCAGACTTCTTTCGACACTCCACCCGAGAGCAACTCCTGCCCACTTTCGCAACTTCAGCTTCACCCGACTTGCTGAGATTCCGCTGAGAGACCGACACGGCGACAACACCTCCAAACTTCTGGACGTTGACCATCAGTTGTGGCGGAAATTAAGTGGACTGCGTGTGAAAAGTTTTGTAATTAGTTCAACTCTTTGGGAGGAGGCAAAAGAAAAGTTTACTCGCAAACACCTCAAGGAGAGCCCGAGTCCCGGTGCACACGAATCATCATTTTAAAGTTTCACCAGTGAGCAGAGGAACGCAAAGAGCAAAGATGCTAATTGGGAGTGCAACAAGATTCATTGCCGGCAGGAATGTGGCGCAGACGGTGTACTGGCGAACATCTGCCGACGGAGCGCGTCTGATCAAGACCAATAAGACCATCAACTTTGGACCTGCCTCATCCGCCCCCGTCAACACCACCGAGACGGCCAACCGGATAGCCAAGCACGAGATTCCCGCCAAGTGGACACTCCTGCACTAACTTACCTCATCTACTTTCACAAGTTGTTACTCCTACCTCTTAGCATGTAGTGAAACACCAAATACCCACTTATTTATTATTGTTATAGCTTTAAGACATTAAAAAAGATAAAAGCGTTAAAAAATACAATCAACACACTTTACACTCGTGCTCTATCTGTGGAAATTGCATCATTCTTAATGTCACCGGATGGGGTGACATGGAAGCACAGAATCTACTGATCTCTACACAAGATTAATAAGCACTTTTCTTTGGCAACGGAAGTCTTCTGCAAGATTTACTAAAAGCTTCCGTAAACTTTGCCAGCATGCTGTAGCTTTTAGCAGAACTCTTCAACTCCTTCCAACGAATTTCCTACTTCAACAAACTTTAATTGCATTCCCAATATTGAATAATGATCCGGAAAGATCAATCTCAATCACGTGTGAATTTAATTTTTCACCTCAAGGTGCTGAGTAAGAGATTTAAAGCTCTTTGTCCCGAACCTCTCTCAATATAGAGACATTCCTCAAGCGACTGATTGGGTCACGTTGCGGTCCATGTGGGTGAAAGTGACACATCTACGATTAGATTGAAGTGACTGATGCGGAAGTAAATGCATACACATACATATGTATTGATATAAATTGAAATATACATTGTACGCGACAAAATTGATTTCCTAGAAATTATTTCTTGGGAGATTACAATTTTATTCTATGACATTGAATGCGACGAAGAAGAATTCCATTACCCAGAGTTAATTGATCTTTCTTTTAAATTGCTTCTACAAAGTATTATCAAATTTGTAAAAAATCAAAAGGTGTTAAAGAAATCTTAATGAAAAAGGTGCATGTATACCTAAATTGTTACCAAGGAAATGGATGTATATAAAGAAAAGTTAATACGGAGAAATGCGAAGAGTTGAAGATTTGTCAAATCCAGTTGGATCAAGAAAGACGAGTATGTATAATCAGAAATTCTTGGTATTTTTTAATGAACAGCATAAATCTCAGTATATTTAGCAGAGAAAAGCCGTATCTTGTGTTAAAAAGAAAGTGGCCTTTCTGTATCCAACAGAACGAGTGATTGTAAGATTATGATGTTACAGGAATAGTTTGAATTTTTCCCAGCATTCCCGCTTATATGTAGAAATTTAGTTCTTTGAAGAATTTGTGAAAACTCCTGGAAGATTCGTTACCCCAAAGGATGTTGCAATCACTTCCGTTTTCCTAACTCTCTACAAAATTTCTTCGCAGGGAGGCAAAAAGCGAGGCTGTGAAGAAGATAGTGAAGGTAAAATTTTGTATGCTCGGCAAATACATGAAATATTAATCACACAAGCGAAAATTTACTACAATGTATGGTTTGGAAGCATATGCTTGACTTTTTGTCTCCCTTCTAGCAAAAATTCTTGAGCAAAGATGCTGGAATAGGGCCAAATTTTGGGATATCATTCAAAAAGAATTTGCACACTCCCTGCGATTTTGCACAATCTCCTGAAGGGATACGGCGATAAAAACACGGTCGGTCATCGTAAGGTTTTTTCTCCTTTATCTGCATTTACATCGAGAGCAGTGTGCTTGAATAAAAATGTACTGAATGTGGGTTTCTTTTCAGGTATTGTTATTCCTATACTTATTTTCATTTCCCCTGTGAATGCTCGCAAACAATATGATTCATTCCTGTGAATTTGAAAACGCCCACAAGAAGAAAGTGAGTAGTTGAATGTCTCCATGGTATTTTATATAAAATATACGAAGAGGAGGAGAAAGGTGAGGCAATATAAACAGGTACAAGTGTTAGGGACATAGCAATCGAAGTGTCTCACCTTTATATAAGGTTTTTCTTCTCTATTTTTATCACACGGAAAAAATTGTTGAGAGAATGAACATTCTTAAATTGATTCAAGGCAGGAAGAAAGGTGGCTCAATAGAAGACAAAAGTACGGAAAATTAATTGCTCAAGCAAAGGAAAAGTTAGATGTAGTGACGTCCCATCAAAGTATAGCAATGGAGCGGAAAATTACACTTCAGTCTCTTAATTGTCAAGTCAGTAGCAATATTCAA